GTATTACACATTCTTGTGAGCTTTGCAGTTCCTACTCTCCATTTACTTTGCAGTAGTTTGTCCTGAATTTGTATCTGAAGCTGGGAATGTGTATTTCTGGATGGTCAAGCAGAAGATTCAGTCTCTGTTTGTGGGTGAAATGATGATGATGATGATTTTACACAGGTTAAATCAAGCCCTAAGCATGTGAATCATCCATAGAATTATATTTATGTTCTCCGTGTAGTTGATTATAAACTGTCTACTAGGGCTAGGGAAGAAATGTAATTCTTTTCACATGTAAAAACAAACATACCTTATTCACTTTCCCCAAAACAATATGTGAACTGAAACACAGCCACTCCTCAAAATTAGCACTTTTCTGAATTTTGCAATGTAGTTCTCCAGCAATGTAATGTGCACAAAAATTCATATACTAAAGTGTGCATAAAAACTCATATGTTCGTGAATGCATTGTGTTAGGGGAAATTGCTTTGGAAAAATGAGTATATTGGGCAAAATCACATTCAAAAAATTAGGAGAAATTTGCACCAAAATTTGTTGCTTAGAATCACAAGCACATTTTTGATAGTAGTCATTATCTCTGAATTTCACCAGTGTTGAGAATCATTCTTAATTCAGCAATCTTGGGGATGGCTATGCTGCCATTTTTGTATTGGTTTTTTTATGCAACAGCTAGAGATGGATCTCTCAAAATGAATGCCCAAGTAAGGCGAAAGGGGCACTATAATTCTTCACCTTATCTTCAGAAGATAAAAATAGCCCTCTTGCAAATGAGAGGCAGTTTCGGATATGATTACAGCTAAAGGTCAACCACTGATTTACTGGCATTTTGCTGCAGCATTACTAAGCACTGATGCATGTCAGTGTAAGGGTTAAATAAACGGCACATTCAGGAACAGAAATCCAAGCCACAAAAATGCAACTTAATTGTATTGAATGCGGCAATAATTTCAAGTACATCCTAGTAATGATGTCCCCAAACTAGGTCTGACACCATAATCCTATATGTCTACTCAGAATTAGATCCCGCTAAGTTCAGTGGAGCCTTAAAATCACAGCCTTATGATAAAGTCTTCACTTTGCAAATAATGTATTCCCTAAGAATCTCTACTCCCTATGAAGTATGGCTTGGTTTGCAGCTGTAGTTGAGAAGGCCTGTGGCTCAGCGGAAGGGTCCATGGCTCAAGGTGCAGAGCACATGTTATGCATGCAAAGGTCACAGGTTCAGTCCTTGGCATTTTGCAGATATAAACCCCCAAATTTATCAGTAGCCTTAGCTCACAATCCTATACTTCACTTTGGAGGCTTGTGCTGTTAAAAATGTTTCTCTGTCTTCACCCTTGGGATTTGATCTGTGTTTCCTCATTTGAAAGCCATTGCCAGCTCTTAGTTAGCAAAACTGCCCTTGGTATTCAGATCCACTGAAGTTACAAATAATGTGTTTTCATATGCTTACTGGGTTGTGAGCAAAATATCTCCCATCAGGTCCATTTCGTCTGTGACTGGCGCCTACGTAGAAATGTTCTTGAACCATCAGAAGCAGGTTCTTGTCCATTAGTTATTCAAACCATTTTTTAAACAGAGAAAACAGAGAGTTGTTTGCCATGGAAGCAGGGTTACATCAACAAATGCCAATAGTTTTTTGAGATGCAGGTCAAATTTTTTGCTCCAAGAGAGAGGGAGAGAGAAATACTACACAGAACTTTTTGAACACTGGATGCTGTCCATGTAGTTACAAGTGCCAAGTAAATATAAATTTATGTTCACCAATCCTTGGCCTGAGAGAAAAGAGACGGCTTTCTGTGGGAAAATGATCCATTCATTCAGCAACAGTTTGTGGAAATGGAACCTGAAAGTTCTTGTTCACCTGTATGTTAGGATGTAATTCAAAACTTGTGGGGACATTCTGCAGATACAAAGGGTTGAGGATTAATTTATACAACAGCCTACTTAGGTTAGGCTAAGGGTCATTAACTGGCCCAAGGTCACCCAGTGAGCTTCATGACCGAGGTGGGATTTGAACCCAGGTCTTTCCCAGGTCCTAATCCGGCATTCTAAACACTACACAACACTGGCTCTAACATGTAGCCATATCCAAAAATATGTGTTCCCCAGTGCACCTCCATTATGTCCTTGCTGCCACACCTCTTTACCCTGACATTTGACACCCTAGACATGTATTTTTAGGACCCAACCTATTCCTGTGACTGTCATTTGTTTTAAACTGTGATTTAGCACTATATATTTGCATTGCTACAACCCACCTAGGGACTTTATGAGGAAGTGTGGGTAAGAAATTGAATTGTTGATATTATTCATAACAATATGCAAATACCCATGTCCTCTTTCAAGATGATCCATTTCCGTTCTTTTAAGCAATATGTAAGTTGTCACATTGCTGGGAGCATAAAATTTATGTACAGTACATGCCAGGATATACTCCTTAGCTCTGTTTTGAAGCTTGCCTGAGATCATTTGAACTGCACTCTTCAGCTCCAGCTTCCCAGCAGCCTTTGCAAAAGGAAGCCTGGAGAGGCTTCTGTCAGGCTGGTTGACAGCTCCCATTTATTGCTTTAGAGCCTTGGACTTGTGCATATGTGTCCCTCTGTTTCCTTTCCCTTGTTATCTCTTGACCTCCCCTGAATCTATATCTGCGATGAATCCTGCCCCATCTTTCTTCCTTGTCCTTGACAGTTTGCCCTTAGATGTCCTGGACCTCATGGCACACATCCCAGCTATTGCTGCCCACATCCTGGCTTGCCCCCTGACCATGTCTTTTTATCACTCTGAAAACTTCCCTCCCCTTTCATTATAGCTATGGACAAATTGCATGTAATAATGCATTTCTGACCATTTGTGGCATGTGAATCAGATGGGTCCAAGAGGAGGAAGAATCTTCCCGCAGGAGATGGTCGGCACAAGCTTAGCCATCCTTGCAGGCTTTAGGATATCAGCTGCATACCCCTCCCCTTTTATTCATGGCTTGCAGGCAGCAGGCTGAAGATCTCTCACCACATCTAGTTCCCAGCCAGTCATAGCAAATGTCACCATTTCAGTGGTCATTTAATAGTGAATGAGCCATAAGTGAAATCCAAATTGGAACATTTCTAGATTTGGGTCTGCTGGAGCAACTAGAAAACTTGGAGTGCCCTCCAAGCACTGCGATAAAACTATAGAAAACAAATAAGAAATGTGTTCATTGAACAAAGAGAACAATTGTTTGAGTTGTGTTAATAATTCTGGAATTTTCTAACATTGGCTTCCCACAATGTGAAGACTGACTGGTTCATTGAGTGCCTGATATTAGTTGTAATTAGTTGTCTCCAGTTGGAGACAAGCAGTTGTCCCCAGCAGTTTTTACCAAAGGTATCATAGGCTTTGAAGACGATCAAACTCAGGATGAAGAGAAGAGTTTGGATTTGATATCCCGCTTTAAGGACTAAGGAGTCTCAAAGCGGCTAACAATCTCCTTTCCCTTCTTCCACCACAACAAACACTCTGTGAGGTGAGTGAGGCTGAGAGACAGAGAAGTGTGACTAGCCGAAGGTCACTCAGCAGCTGCATGTGGAGGAGCAGAGATGCGAACCCGGTTCACCAGATTACAATTCCACCACTCTTAACCACTACACCATGCTGGGAGAAACGTGCTAAGAGGAAGGCATGCTTGGGAAACCCTCACCATGATCAACTCCCGCCTGGAAATCTATGTCTCCACTGTGGAAGGACGTGTGGATCCAGAACTGGCCTTCACAGTCTCTTATGGACTCACTGTTAAGACTGTGTTCATGGAAGACAATCTTGCTCAGCTACAAGTGATCACCAAAGAAGAAGATTAGTTGTAATATATAGTGTAGCATTTTCATTTTTTGTACTTTGCATCTATACCCCAGCAAGCATAAACAGGATTTTGGGGAAGGGCCACAGCTTAGTGGTAGTCCACCTGCTTTGCACCCCAAATATCCGGGTTCAATCTCTGGGATCTCCAGTTAGGCACAGAAAAAAACGCTGCCTAAAACCTTGGAGAATTGCTTGTCAGTCAGTGTAGACAATAATGAGTTACCGTATTTTTCGCTCTATAACACGCACCCGACCATAACACGCATGTAGTTTTTAGAGGAGGAAAACAAGAGGAAAAAAAATCTAAACGAAACAGTGGAATATGATTTTTGTGGTTCATGCTGTGGCCACAGACATGTGATCTGACAGTGAGTTTGGAGTAGCCCAGTGCAAAAATCCTGAGGATCCATGTGGATCCATGCTTTGTAACCACGTTTTTGCACCACTGCGGCCCAGGCAACAGTGGGTGCGTGATTTTTTTGGTGCAAGATGTAGCCATGGACATGCTATGTGATCTGATGGTGAATTTGGGGTGACCCAGTGCAAAAATCCTGAGGATCCATGTGGATCCGTGCTTTGTAACTACGTTTTAAGTGGGGAGCGGAGGAAAAGCACTCAAGGGACAAGAAGCACACGTGGGGTGTATGGAGAAGGATGCTGCTAATAATGAAGAAGAGGTGTATAAAGGGAGACGGCTCCTCTCCTCTCCCACTTTGCTCCTTTAAAGAAGCAGGCTCTCTGTCCCTCTCTCCTCCCCACTCAGCAGCTCTTCTCCCGCTTTGCTGTTGCAAAGCGAGCCACGGAGGAGGGAAGGAAGGGGAACCATGGATCCTCTGCTCACGACTGCAGCAGATCCCCCCGCCATCCTTAGGCATTCCCTCCATAACACGCACAGACATTTCCCCTTACTTTCTAGGAGGAAAAAAGTGAGTGTTATGGTGCAAAAAATACGGTAAATAACTAATATAAGGCACTTCACCCTGTTCATTTGCTTCTCATTTTTTAATGTCCCACACACATGAGTTCTTAAGAATATGTTTAGGCTGTTTCGTCTTGTTCTCAGTTCAGATTCAGAGCAAAGGTCGTGTTTCTTTTATCTCATCCAACTCATCAAAATACCTTTGAGAAGAACTGGTTTTAGTCAGTCTGGTGAAGAGACTTCAGATATTAGCAGAGATGCATTTCAAATCCTTTAGGCAGTCTCTTATCCTCAGGCACTCTTTTCTTGAGAAAAAAAATGGTATCACTGAGGAAACCAGATGAGGACTCTTTGGCGAAGAAGACTTAATGGACCCATTGCTCTGAAAATGAGAAATATAAATAAGAGAACACCTCAATATGTACTTAAGAATTCACCCAGCACAGTACAACTAGACAATGCTTTGGATTAAATTCCTGACATACAAACAAATGTGTCTGGTAAAGTCAGAGCAATCTCTGTCCTTTATATAACTGAATGCGGGAGGTAGGACGAATATCTGCTTAGTAAAAGATCCAAGCCTGTCTGAACTTGCTCGAAGTCTAATGTTCCACGGAAAGTAAACTAATGTACCATGTTTACAATGATTCAAGATGGGGGGGGAAGGTTCCAGTAAGAGTCTTTTTCAAGGTCATATCAGGTTCATCAGAAAGACAGCCCTGGACCCAACTATTAGTAATAGATCTAGGGCTAAGTTAATCATTACATCAAGTGCTGAACTAGACATATGAGAGAGACTAAAGCGATGAGTGTGGAGTCTTGGGTCTCTGCCAAACATCTACAGGCAACAGGAGGAGGAGGAGGAGGAGCAGGTGTGATTGGAGAAGAAATGTCCAATCCACTTCAGAAACTAGACTGGGTAATCTAGAACTTCAAAGTCCAATGAGGAGAAATGGCAATGTGGAGAATTTCAGAAGCATGTCTAGCACATGATCCTTTAGTCTTCCCTAATAAGGTCATCCCCAGGTGTCACCATGGTTAGACACCTGCCAATCACCACAACCTGACAGAGAGCCCACCATTAGGAATGTAAACAGGAAAAAGTAAAGTTGAATAATATTTTTTTAAAATCACATAGGGGCCAAAATAGTTTTCCAGGCCAAAATAATTTCAGAAGTATCACTTGGAAGAACTTGTGTGTGTGTGTGTGTGCTTGAAACCCCAGTCAACTTAACACAGAGAGACACACTGTGAAAGAACTCTTGCCAAACACAGTATGAAATGCTCTATATCCTGGCTAAGGTCTATGAAAGTCAACAGGGTTATAAACAATTGAAAACATGTGAAGTTAAAGGGATTAACCCTCTTATCAAGGAAGAGATGCTGACTGGTTAGTTTCAATGCCCTTTTGGCACATCATGTAAAATTTAACAAGCTTCAGAGAGGTAGTGCAGAGCCAGGGAGAGCAAACGAAAGCAGACATCACAGCTCCTTTTCAAGTTCAATATTTGTAAGGTCAATGTAATGTTTGTGACAGATTCATGCCTCGATCCAGGCCAAGTTTTCAAAGTGCCCCAGGTTCAACACATAGAAATCCACCCGAGGAATTATGCTGGAGCGCTTGAGTAATGGGGATTCTACAGGGAAGATGAGGAGTCTGCTTGTGGTTAAAAAGGTAAAGGAACCCCTGACCATTAGGTCCAGTTGTGGCTGACTCTGGGGTTGCGGCGCTCATCTTGCTTTATTGGCCGAGGGAGCCGGCGTACAGCTTCCAGGTCATGTGGCCAGCATGACTAAGCCACTTCTGGCAAACGAGAGCAGCGCACGGAAATGCCGTTCACCTTCCCGCTGGAGTGGTACCTATTTATCTACTTGCACTTTGACATGCTTCCGACTGCTAGGTTAGCAGGAGCAGGGACTGAGCAACGGCAGCTCACCCCGTCGCAGGGATTCAAACCGCCGGCCTTCTGATCAACAAGTCCTAAGCTCTGTGGTTTAACTCACAGCCTAACCCGCTTGTGGTTAGGCACGGGCAAATTTCTCAATTTTTGCTTCTTTCAGCATCTCTTTTTTCCCAATCTTTGTTTCAGTTCACTGCATTTTCACATCAGTTTGTGCAATTTAAAAAAATAAAAAAGTCATAACAAAAACATATCAGCATGTTAGTGCATATTTCTCCCAATAAACACATTTTCTGTAATATAACTTATTTTTAATCAATTTACATATATATGTGTAATATGTATATATGAGGTGTGTGTGTGTTTGTGTGTGTGTGTGTAATATATCTATGAAAGGTTGCCCACTCCTGAGCTAAGCTGCACATCACCTAATATGGGCTTGTGTCTATGTTGGTTTTTGGGGACGGGAAATAGTTTGTCATGACACTTGCTAACAAGTAACATCTGCCTGCCAGGGAAACACAGCTGACAATTTACTGGAAGACACACTCTGTCTGAATATACAAAGGGAACATTTCTTGATGTTTCTGATTAATGAAGGATGTGCAGAAGAAACTTATGTTCTGACTTGGTCTCTTAGGCCAACATGTCAGCCACAAGTGATTTGGAGATTAACAGAAGTCTTCAGAATGGGCCATATCCTTGATGGAAGCTAGTGTAGTACAGGGGTTAGCTGGTTGGAAGGGGATCATGTGAATCTGCAGTCACATTCTCATACTCTTGTTTCTGACTTTACAAAATTATTGGGGACACCTGTTGCACCTGTTTTGGAGTGAGTGGGAAAGCGACAATTTATTTATTTATAGTTTTTAAATATAATGTTTATTGATTTCTTTTTTAACACAATATTTCAACATATCAATAACAAAACAAATAAATTCTTTGCTCTACTGAGCTCATGACTTACTTCCCTCCATCTCTTCAGCAGGTTTTTTATTTTCAAGTCTTTGTATCACACTTTATATCCTCTACTTCTGACCTTTATGTCCTTATAATCAATTCTGTCTCTTTGGTCTAGAAAGTTTTAGAACTTCCTTTTTTTCGTTGCAGAATTTATATCAGTCCTGATAGTGTCTTCACATTTTTACAATAATTATTCATATACCCAATAAATTTACTCCAACCTCTCTGAAATTTTTGGTCATCTTGATTCCAGACTCTGCCTGTCAGCGTGGCCAGTTCCGCATAGTCCATCATCTTCGTCTGCCACTCCTCAATCGTTGGTAATTCCTGCAGTTTCCATCTTTGGGCTAATGAAGTTATTGCCGCAGTTGTGGCGTACATAAATAGTCTTTGGTCTATCTTTGCAATTTCTTCTCCCATCAGACCCAGCAAGAATGCCTCAGGTTTTCTGGGGAAGGTATATCTAAACGTATTTTTTAGTTCATTGTACATCAATTCCTGACTTTTTGTCAGGCTTAGACTGATGCTGTTCTTGTAAGTTTCATTCATATGTTTCTGGACTTGATTTGATTCTTTGCTGCTTGTTTTTGTTTTTAAAATAAATACAGTGGTACCTCGGGTTAAGAACTTAATTCGTTCTGGAGGTCCATTCTTAACCTGAAACTATTCTTAACCTGAGACACCACTTTAGCTAATGGGGCCTCCCGCTGCCGCCACGCCGCTGCCACACAATTTCTGTTCTCATCCTGAAGCAAAGTTCTTAACCTGAGGTACTATTTCTGGGTTAGCAGAGTCTGTAACCTGAAGTATCTGTAACCTGAAGCATCTGTAACCCGAGGTACCACTGTATCCTGTTCCAGATTTGATTTCAGGCACTGGTGTGTGAACAGCTTGAGAAATCAGGTCCACTTCCTGGTGGGGCTGGGTTGTGGTCCGGCCACCTAGCCACTCCCCTCAGCGCCAGGGTGGGACAGCGTCCCGCATCACGCTGGGGGAGACCCCGGTCATGTCAGGTTGCCAGGCAGCCAATCAGGTCGCTTGGGGTTGTGGCCAGGAACGATTTAAGCCATGGCGCGATTCTGAGCCTTCCTCTTTCAGCCTCGCGCCATTATTCTCCTTGGGGCCTTGACATGCAAAGCAGTTGCCAATATGCATTCATCATCCACAAAGCAAATGCAGATGGAAGTGTGGACTCTCATCCACAAATGAGGTCTTTTGTACCTGAATGTGAATGTGAATGCAGGCACACCTAGTTCGCAAGCATGCATGATGATTCCTGGCTGAGAAAGGAAATTCACAGAAAGGCTTCTTCCATGATTGCATCTCCTTTTCTGGATCATGGGGGTGGGGATGCATGGGCAGGTGGGTGGATATGTTGCTTTTTAATACTATTTGACTGCTGCAATCTGCTTGCCCGGATTTTATTTTTTGAAGCTGGGGGAGAATTAAAATAAGCACATCTGTGGATGGTTTTAGTGGCATAAAAGCATTTCATGGGGTAGAGTTTCAGCCAACACAAATGCTTTGAGCATTAGAGTAGTAGGTATCTATCTACATGATAAATTACCCTCTATTTTTTTGTTGTTGCAAAACTTTTGCTTGACATAGTTGCCAAATTGCCTCTTTTCTGTTTTGCCAGGGGGAGAAAATTAAGCATTTTGCAATATTCTGTTAAAATACTGTAGACATCCTGTTGGGGCTTGCAGATAACATCTCAAGATCATCTCTGAAGCATGCCATTAGAGATCAAGTAGTCCAATGTCTTAGAAGTATAGACTGTGTCTGATGTATTTTGGATACTGTGACTACATTAATAAGGTTGCTGTTATCAAGAGGATGATCAGTGCTTCCATGTGCAATCATATTGAGATCAGCCTGGATAGCTCAGTTGGTTAGAACGTGGTGCTGATAATGCCAAGGTTGCAGGTTCAATGAGACAGCTACATATTCCCACATTGCAGGGGGTTGGACTGGATGATCCAACTCTATAGTTCTATGATACTATGATCTCTCTTTAGAAGGAACACAGGAACATGGGAAGCTGCCTTATACTATGTCACGACATTGGTTCATCTCACTCTGCTTTGTCTACACTGACTAACAAAACAAAACAAAAGAGAAGTCTTCAACATCAGCAGTCAGGAGCGCTTCAGCCCTGCTTTTGAGTTTCTGTCCTGTTTTTGAGTTTGTTTGAAACCTAAACAGCTTATCTCTTATTCCTTTGTAACTTTTTCTTAAAACCTTTTTTAAACTCAGGGAGCGTTTCATCCCTGCTCTTTAGTTTGCTGGAAATCATTTAAAATAATTTAAGATTTACAAAGTTCTCTTAAATAGGGCTATGTTCAAAACTTGTCATTGAGGTTTTTATACCTTTTTTCAGCGTTTCAGCCCTGCTCTTGAGTTTGTTTGATATCACTTAAAATCATTTAAAGTTATAAAATTCTTTATTTCCTTCTGAGGAAACTGATTAGTTCAGTGAAACGAGTTTTGTAGCCGGCATCTCGTTAAGTCTTCTAGGTTAATTTTCCCTTAAATTTTCTGATTTTTGTTATTTAATTTAATTCTATAGTCAATTACCTCTCGTTTCAGGGATTTTCACGGCAATTCTTTTGTTTTGTTTTGTTAATCTTTTGGTTGCATGACTGTCTTTTTTCCACTGTTGTCTACACTGACTGGCAGACGTTCTTCAGGATCCCAGAAAGGAGTTTCTTCCAGCCCAACCTTCAGATACTGGGGATTGAACCATGAACCTTCCGCATGCAAAGCAGATGCTCTACCACTGAGCTATGACCACCAGTTTAAATATAACTGGGGTATCATCCGGGGGTATAACAGCAATGTTGAATCCTTGCATTAGGGCAGTGGTGGAGATCTGAAGATTTACATAAAGGCTGTTCAGTGTCCCCTTTATATGTTACCTCCATGAAGGTTGCAGTTATGTTCCTGGTCTCATCTCTGGCATCAGTCAAGCTGCCACATATAGGCCTCTTCATGAACATGAGCAGACCAACGCATGGACTTCTGGAACATGGGTCAGGCAGCATGCTTGATGCTGGGCCTAGGAATCTTGGCACCACTCCCCAGCAGTCATGTGATGCCCCTTTCATGCCAGGGATCTAGTATATCACTGTGTGTGTGTGTGTGTGTGTGTGTGTGTATATGTAAGGCCATAACTCAGTGGTAGAGCACCTGCTTTGCAGGCAGAAGGTCTCAGGTTTAACCCCCAGCATCTCCAGAGCTAGGAATGTACCCAGTCTGGAATCTTGGAGGTCCTCTGCCAGTCATTGTAGACAATACTGAGCTAGATGGATTAATGGTCTGACTCAGTACAAGGCAGCTTTCTGTGTTCCTATTTATGATGTTTTTGCTTCTTTCCCCCATGGAGTTATCCTGGAAAACAGACCTTAGACTGTCTTCTGAGCTGGTAGAAGAAAATAATGCTAAGATAATGAACCAAAACCCAAAGTTTACAAAAAAATAATTTGTGTACAGCTGTGGCTTCTCTGTGTCTATGTTTTCTTCCATCTGAAGTCTCATGTATTTGACTGAGCTCCTTCGCTTTTTAAAGAAGGTCCCTACTGAGAGTAACAGCAGAAAACAATGCAGTTTTTCTTTTATGTTGTATGGGAAAGAACGGTTCCAAAGCAACCATAACTCAAACCAAATCTGCACATTGGTATTTGAGAAACAGAACTTACCCTTCTGCAAAGTGGCTCTCTGGAATTTAAACTCTCAAGGTCATGCAAGGCTCAAGCGCTGTATATTCAAGAGGCAGGAAATGAATGTCACTCTAGCTAGACTTTGGTCCAGTGTTGCCCTGCAGTACAGTGCCAGAATTTGCTGACTCATACCTGTGATTCACCATGTATAATTGCTTAAGTGATTGGATAATGCCAGCAGCTACAGCCACTGTAAACAGAAGAAACAAACAGAAGAAATGTTATACCTGCTGCACTGCAAATTCAGGGAAGAGGGGTAAATGAGAGGAAGAACAAGACACAGACCTGCAGGAGGAAATGGAAGGACCTCTTGATATCAAGCCCACAGCATTATTATCCCTATCTATATCCCATACCATTTCTTACTATATAATAAAGCAGTAAGGCTGTCATCATGCTGCAGCTTGTGAGGTCACCAATAGGTGGCCACAGAAACTCCAGCATGATAACAGGCTAGCAGGCAGATGCGCAAGCAAGCAGGCAGCCAAGAGGGTGGGAGGTACTTCAGAGAGTAGAGCGCTAAACCACTTACTGAAGTACCCCGCACCCTCCTTTCAAAGAGGGTGAGATGAGCTGTTAGAAAGAGGGAGGGGGAAGGGCTTGGAGTGATCTGTGACTGGGAGGGGTGGGGCGAGCAGAGAGGAGGAGGGATTGGGATTGAGCTATGGGGGGAGAGGTTTGGGTGAGCTGGGAGGGGATAGACAAGGGAGTGGGTGAGACATAAAGAGAGTAAGGGTTGGTCAGGTGTGGGGGAAGGGGGGTTGGCAAAGGGGCTGGCTGGTAGGTGGCATTGGTCAGAGGAGCAAGTTGGGACAGTAGTCCCTAGTATTAAATATAAATGCACAATCAGGCAACCTTACAAGGAAGTCCTCTTACCCCCTTTTAGGGGTGCCAGGCATTGCGGAACAGCCAGAGCTTGCCCCCTGCCAACGGTGCAGGGCTGCATATCAGGGACTGTTCCTTGCCTTGAAAACTTGTCCCATGTCAGCCCGTAGAATTGGCCAAGGGCAGGCTGGTGTGGAGGGCTTGGCTTTCTGGAGGTGGGCCTGGGGGAACAATCAGGCTTTCCTGAGGTCTGCTCCTGGGGGATTTAAATCAACCCACGCCAGTTCCTAGCACTCAGCTCTTCTGCATGGTCTTGTTTATTTGGTAGCTCACCTGAGGAGGGGAGAATGTGCAGCCTGGGCCTGCAAGAACTCTGTTGGCAATATTGGAGAAAATGTTTTATACAAAAGTACTTGACTCCTGCAATTACTCCTGAATTAGGCCCATTAAATGATTCCATTCTGTAGACTTGAGGGGGGTTTTTTTGTTTTTGTTTAACAGAGCTGGACTATCATCTTGAAAGACTGCTGGTTCCAGCTCCCGCACAATATCCCCGCATGGTTAGGGTTGTCCCAATAGTTTATAATTACTCGGTATGAAGTATGCATTTGTGTTAACTTGACTTGGCTGCCTTCTTAATTAAGTGCCATTTCCCTGTTCACTTCTGCTTCAGGATGCAGTACAAGATTCTGAGCCGGCGTTCCAACAGATGAGGTGCCCAAAGCCTTAACCAGCTGCTTTTTTTAGAGACATTCACATCCTGCACTGTTACTGAAACTCTAATAAACTGGCATTAAACTATAGGGGTATGCAGACAGTGTGTTCAATGCATCAACCTTTTAGGGACACCCTCTGTGCCAACGCACTTGCTGGACACACACTCAGTACCTGCATATTCAGAGGACATGTGAAAGGTGGTTTATATGTCTATATATGTGTCTATGTTTGTGGCTGGGAACCCTTTTTCACAGGGCTACTTGGATGTGCAGTTTCTGGGGTTGTGGCCAGTGTTTATGTTGGGGGCACCATCTCACACAACCCTCGTGCATTCCCTGAAGACTCGAGGGAAGAGAGGGGGGGCATGTGAACTACAAAGACAGCTGCTTTGTCAACACATACACAGATAGTCACTCATGTTAACCTCTTAACGTTCAGGGAAACTCTCACTGACTGCTGGGACTGCATGCCAAGACCACCCAACTGTGCCGCCTTTTGTTTGGTGAGTTTTTTGAAACCTCTCTTTCAAATCATTCTTGGAAATGTTTAATGTGGTTGCTGTTCCCCATCCAGATCTAAAAACCACATCTCATTCCTTGGGGTATTTGTTATAAGAGAGGAGCAGCTGCGCTTGTTCCTCCATCGCCACATTCCCATTCTCAAGCAGCATTGTGAAAGCTTGGAGGCGTCCTGGGAAAGAAGCGTGCTCACAAAAGAAACAATTGAATTAAGAATGACTTATCCTCCAAGTACTCTATATCTTGCTTAGTGTTCCCCCAACAGAGCTTATCATTGCTGAGCTGCTTCCTATAAAGGATGGGGTAAGCTATTGATTTCAGATTCCCTCAGACCACATTCGCACCATAGGTTGAAAGCAGTATGGTACCACTTTAAAGCATTATGATACCAGAGTTCCTCAGGAAGAGGGACTGCTAAACCACTCTGTGAACTGTAGCTCTGAGAGGAGAACCAGATGTCTCCAAACAACTCACAACACCCTTAACAGGCCATAGTTCCCATAATCCTTTGAAAGAAGCCCTGACTGTTTAAAGTGATATCACGGTGCTTTCAAAGAACTGTGTGAACGTGGCTTCAGTTTCTCGTTTTTCCAGACTTGAGTTCTGTTCACTACATCATTTCCGACATCAGCACTTTAGTGTGCATTCCTTGTGCACATTTTGGTGTGCAGTTTTGCTACTCTTGGCTGCAAGCCATTTCCCACAACATAATGCATATTGGGATGTTAATTTCGCCAATATATGTATTTTAATGAACACTCATTGCCTTGATTGGTGAGTTTTTGTATTCATACCTTCGGTTGGAGAACAACATTGCAAAACTAGGTGAAATATGGGTTTTTAAGGATAGTTGTATTTTGCTTTACATGTTGTTTCTGGAAGTGACATGTAGGTCGGTTCCAGACCAAATCTCTCCCCCATCCCTACTTCCTCACTGAGCCCTCATTATGTAGAATGAAAATAGCAGAAGAGGGGGTTTGTACCTTTAAGAGCTTCATAGAAGTAGTAGTTTCAGTACCACTCAGGTCCAGCGCCAAGGGCCTTCTGGCGGTTCCCTCATTGCGAGAAGTGAGGTTCAGGAAACCAGGCAGAGGGCCTTCTTGGTGGTGGCACCTGCCCTGTGGAATGCCCTCCCAGCAGATGTCAAGGCAATAAGCAACTATTTTACTTTTAAAAGACAACTGAAGGTGGCCTTGTTTAGGGACGTTTTTAACCTTTGATGCTGTACTGTTTTTAATATTCGGTTGGAAGCTGCCCAGAGTGGCTGGGGAAACCCAGGCAGATGGGCAGAGTATAAATAATAAATTGTTGTTGTTGTTGTTGTTGTTGTTGTATTCAGTAGAGGTAGTTTTGTCTCACCTAGGCATGACAAACTGCAAAAACTATACAACATGTAGCAATGTGAAATTCACTACTTGTAGCTGTGCAGAATATTCCCATTTATGGATGCCTGAGTCAAAAATGGCTTTTGTGGTGTAGAAACATTTCCTAGAAAGACTTCTGTACTGTGAAATATTTGCCTTTTTATTTTATTTTATATGTGACACCATTCAATGCCAACATTTTCTACGGTGATCCCAGTCAGATATCATGCAGTGAAGTCGAGGGCACTGAACTATGATGCTTTATAGAAAATCAGACTGAGCTACATTATTGATAGACTGGTGGATGGATTGATGGATTGAATGCATGGCGATATCACAGAAAGCAAGTGAGGGAGGGGAGTGCTTTCTGAACTAATTGCATGGGTGGTTCCAACTAATAAGGAATCACATAGCATGAAATCACAATACTGCATTGACAGATTTGAATACATGCTAATGCTGTTAATCTAACCGAGGGCGAAAGCAAGTAAGGGCAATGCAAAGGAATGAGTGGATCATTGAAAAAAAATGTGCTTTTGAAAAGTTGCCAGATAGATTCTTTTCTGTTGCTCCAGGGAGTATAACACAAAGACCACATTTACTAAGCTTTTCTTTGAAGGTGTCATGTAGGACAAAGCCAACAGACTTGCTGAAGTAAAGATGGCACTATATCAGTTTTGTTTCTCTTGTCTTTTCAACAAGTTCCTTTGTCAAAGGAGGAAACCTGTTTGGACCATCTGGTATGATTCCTCTTCATAAAACCATGTTTAGTAGCTAATAGCCATTCCATTTTACCCCAAGCGCTTCCAAAATAATTGTATTATTTGCTCTCATGTAATATGTTTTCACCAGTAGACTTTCCCTGAGGCCTGCCGGTAGAGTCCATTGTGTTTCTTACTGCATTGTGCTCTTCTTAGTGTGTTGTTCAAAGAGCATTTTAGGAATTTTGTTTTATACAACCGATGTTGCATTTGGGCTTTTAATTGATTTACCTGTTTGTCTTTGTTAAATTGTTTCAAGACTTTTTCAATAACACCATAAACAAGTATGATTAATGATAGTCATAATAACCGCAACCCTAATAGTTGCATGGAGATGATTAGCTTTCCCAGATTACTCATTGACTGCAGCTTTCAGGTTAAACCAGGGGTCAGCAACCTTTTTAAGCTGTGGGCCGGTCCACCGTCCCTCAGACCATGTGGTGTGACAGACTATATTTTTTTGGGGGGAAATGAACAAATTCCTATGCCCCACGAATAACCCAGATATGCGTTTTAAATAAAAGCACACATTCTACTCATGTAAAAACAGGCTGATTCCTGGACTATCTGTGGGCTGGATTGAGAAGGCGATTGGGCCGGATCTGGCCCCCAGGCCTTAGTTTGCCTACCCCTGGGTTAAACTTCCCTAACACGGGTGTTGCTGGTGTAAGGAAAATAATAGGCACAAAAATGAGAATTCCTAGATGCCAAGATCCAAGTTTAGGGCAAGTATTCTTTGGTGAGAGAACCCCAGCAGAAATTTAAAATCATAGAATTTTAGAGTTGAAAGGGACCCCAAGGGTCATCTAGTCCAACCCCCTGCAGTGCAGGAAAATCATCCATGACAGAGGGCCATCCAACCTCCATTTAAAAACCTCCAAGGAAGGAGAGTTCACAACCTCTCATGGAAGTCTGTTCCATGGCTGAGCAGCTCTTACTGTCAGAAAGTTTTTTCAAATGTTTAGTCGGAATCTCCTTTCCTGCAGTTTGAAGCCATTGGTTCGAGTCCTACCCTCCAGAGCAGGAGAAAACAAGAGTGCACAAAATATGCAGCAAAGAAAGGGTAGAAATATAGGCGTTAGGCCATTAAAACGTAACACTGTGCTTTCCGAAACTACCCTCTTCCCTCAGCATAGGAAAAGACCACACATTTAATAAGTTCAAAATTGGTTTACTTACAAACAATTCATAGGTCAGGTTCATGTGATTTTCCATATGTCAGAAAAGTTGCACAGGCAGTAAAACTTGGCTTAGTTGCAAAGTGGTGGAAGTTCCTAACTCAAGAGTGGCTTGTGAGAGCCATGTGTTCTGAGCTTGGAGCAGCCAGTTCAGGTCTCTTTACACACAAAGATTCTCAGGTAGACTGGGGGAGAACAATAGACTCGATTACGGTACCTAGTTCTTCCCAAAATGAGGGGAAGTGGACATAGCGAAGCCTGGAAAAACAGTTTGCTGGCACCCATCTGTCTCAGGAGACAATGGAGGAGTGTGCCTTTGGAGGTGAATTCAAACTGTTCAAAAGCCCATCTGATACACATACAATATCATTTGTTGTAAACATCTTGAACACTTTTTAATAAACCTGAGGTTCCAAACTGTGGTGGTCCAGGTGGTATGTGGCAAACCTGTAAAAATACAATTAAAAAAACTATACAACATGTAGCACAAGACATTACAATTGTTACAACAGGAAGAAAAATAATTAAGCGGTTTGTCAAAACCTCCAGCAAGTGTTCAAGTAGTTTGAGGGGGTGGAGTTTGGAAACCGCTCCAATAAACAATAAATTCAAAAGCAAACATACACAGAATCTATGTGATTTTTCAGATGCAATGGGCTGTATCCAATCTTACACAAACTCAGAATAGACTCATTGAATTCAATTGACATTGCTAACTTAGGTCCATTAATTCCAGTGGGTCTACTTAGTTGTATCACTACTCCAGTAGAATTGCTGTTTGCAGCCTGAAAATTGAAATGGAATAATAAACTTGGCAGCCCTAACTGGAATATATTTTAAATTAGTATAACCATACACATATAGCACATCATATCATAATAAAATATGGTGGATATGATTCCAGGATAGGGAAATTTCACAG